ATAGATAGATAGATAGATAGATAGATAGATAGATAGATAGATAGATAGATAGATAGATAGTATTCCGACCCCTTTACTTTTTCCACATTTTGTTACGTTACAGCCTTATTCTAAAATTGATTAAATCGTTTTTTCCCCCTCATCAATCTACACACAATACCCCATAATGACAATGCAAAAACAGGTTTTTAGACATTTTTGCTTAATTATTTAAAATAAAAATGGAAATATGACATTACATATGTACTCAGACCCTTTACTCAGTACTTTGTTAAAGCACCTTTGGCAGCGATTACAGCCTTGAGTCTTCTTGGGTATGACGCTACAAGCTTGACCTACCTGTATTTGGGGAGTTTCTCCCATTCTTCTCTGCAGATCCTCTCAAGCTCTGTCAAGTTGGATGGGGAGTGTCGCTGCACAGCTTTTTCAGGTCTCTCCAGAGATGTTTGATCGGGTTCAAGGACATTCAGAGACTTGTCCCGAAGCCACTCCTGCGTTGTCTTGGCTGTGTGCTTAGGGTCGCTGTCCTGTTGGAAGGTGAACCTTCGCCCCAGTCTGAGGTCCTGAGTGCTCTGGAGCAGGTTTTCATCTAGGATCTCTCTGTACTTTGCTCCGTTCATCTTTCCCTCGATCCTGACTAGTCTCCCAGTCCCTGCCGCTGAAAAACATCCCCACAGCATGATGCTGCCACCACCATGCTTCACCGTAGGGATGGTGCCAGGTTTCCTCCAGATGTGACGCTTGGCATTCTTGTTTCTCATGGTCTGAGAGTCCTTCAGGTGCCTTTTGGCAAACTCCAAATGGGCTGTCATGTGCCTTTTACTGAGGAGTGGCTTCTGTCTTGCCACTCTACCATAAAGGCCTGATTGGTGGAGTGCTGCAAAGATGGTTGTCATTCTGGTAGGTTCTCTTATCTCCAATAGTGTGCAAAGCTGTCATCAAGGCAAAGGGTGGCTACTTTGAAGAATCTCAAATCTCAAATATGAAATATGAAATATTTGATTTGTTTAAGTTATTTGGTTACTACTTGATTCCATAGTTTTGATGTCTTCACTTTTATTCTACAATGTAAAAAATAGTAAAAATAAAGAATAATTTAGTGATATCCAAATATGATCTTGTCTCATCACTGCAACTCCCCAACGGGCTCAGGACGCGAAGGTCGAGTCATGCGTCCTCTGAAACATGACCCGCTAAAAACATGTTTTCGCTTTGTCATTATGGGGTATTGTGTGTAGATTGATGAGGAAAATGTTTGTTTTTTAAACCATTTTAGAATAAGGCTGTAACGTAACAAAATGTGGAAAAAGGGAAGGGGTCTGAATACTTTCCGAATGCACTGTAGATAGATAGATTATTGAGAGATTCTCTCTCTGACATGTGGCATAGATGCACACAACCAATCCACCCAAATTCAAGTGAAAACCAGGCAGCAAACCAGCCCTAACTGACATACTGTGAGAATGCTTCATGTTAATCCCATTTATTTGCATGAGACGTGAACCTCTTTGTCAATCACCACTAGTCCCAGATCAGCTATATCTCACTGAGCATAAACACACACTGTCACTCAAATCACCATCGTCGTACTGCATTGTACACACTGAGCACTGAACCAAACCAACTGATTGTATCACCACCACCACCACTATGCACACTGCAACCAAACTTCCCCCACCCCCTACCCCCTTACTATGAAATGTTAGGGTGTGCTGCCACCACACACCAATCAGTGTGTCTCGCCAGAGTTCCAGCCACGCCTCCCAATGTCTACGTCATCCATCCATCCATCCATCCATCCATCTGTTTGTTATTCATCCCTCCATCCTTGTGTCTCCTCACCCCCTCTCCCTCCCTCTCTCGGTTGCAGGGGAACGGTTCCTGATCTGTTCATCTCTCCACAGGGTTGATGTGTGTGTGTGTGTGTGTGTGTGTGTGTGTGTGTGTGTGTGTGTGTGTCCTGTCGATGTCTGTGTTTGTCTAATTGCGTTAGATTGGTGTGATGCAGTTGAGCCAGATCAAACCTGTAACAGTTTTAACTGTGTGTTATACTAGTGGGGGGGTACTAGCTTGCCTTTAACTAATGCTAAAAGGTTAAACTAACGTTTGGGGAATGAATCTCGAAACAAGGAAGACCATTAACTAAAAGTATAAAGTGAAGTTTATTATTATTACAAACCATTAGTCAAACATGGATTGCAAGTTTCAACTAAACATTTTGAGTGCAGCTGTAGGCTATAGCATGGACCCTGACAGCTGTAGGCTATAGCATGGACCCTGACAGCTGTAGGCTATAGCATGGACCCTGACAGCTGTAGGCTATAGCATGGACCCTGACAGCTGTAGGCTATAGCATGGACCCTGACAGCGCTTAAGACTGAGAAGGTTTTTCTGTGACTCTTCTGTGTTTCTGTCACAGTGATCTGTGTCTGTCGGTCCCCTGTCCTGCATGGGCCATGTGTGTCCAAGAGCACCCGAATCACAACGCCAGCCTATAGCGCAGAGTTGGACTAACTGGGCTCAGTTCAAACGTTAAACATCACAATTTAACATGATTTAATTTCCGATTGAATTCCAATTCCCTTAGACATAGAGTCACATTGATAATGTGTCTAAAAGGGGATTGCTATAGGTCTATAATCCTCTATACCAGGGGTACTCAACTCTTACCCTACGAGGTCCGGAGCCTGCTGGTTTTCTGTTCTACCTGATAATGAATTGCACACACCTGGTGTCCCAGGTCTAAATCAGTCCCAGTGGATCTGGCTTCGAGGTCTAGAGTTGAGTTTCAGGGTTCTATACCATCCTATTCGATTTCCTCAAATCACTATTTCCTTACCACCTATAGCTGTACTAGAAGTAAGATTATTTCATGCTCAAAATACCTCCTAAAAGTCTCTTATACACTGCTCAAAAAAATAAAGGGAACACTTAAACAACACAATGTAACTCCAAGTCAATCACACTTCTGTGAAATCAAACTGTCCACTTAGGAAGCAACACTGATTGACAATACATTTCACATGCTGTTGTGCAAATGGAATAGACAACAGGTGGAAATTATAGGCAATTAGCAAGACACCCCCAATAAAGGACTGGTTTTGCAGGTGGTGACCACAGACCACTTCTCAGTTCCTATGCTTCCTGGCTGATGTTTTGGTCACTTTTGAATGCTGGCGGTGCTTTCACTCTAGTGGTAGCATGAGACGGAGTCTACAACCCACACAAGTGGCTCAGGTAGTGCAGCTCATCCAGGATGGCACATCAATGCGAGCTGTGGCAAGAAGGTTTGCTGTGTCTGTCAGCGTAGTGTCCAGAGCATGGAGGCGCTACCAGGAGACAGGCCAGTACATCAGGAGACGTGGAGGAGGCCGTAGGAGGGCAACAACCCAGCAGCAGGACTGCTACCTCCGCCTTTGTGCAAGGAGGAGCAGGAGGAGCACTGCCAGAGCCCTGCAAAATGACCTCCAGCAGGCCACAAATGTGCATGTGTCTGCTCAAACGGTCAGAAACAGACTCCATGAGGGTGGTATGAGGGCCCGACATCCACAGGTGGGGGTTGTGCTTACAGCCCAACACCGTGCAGGACGTTTGGCATTTGCCAGAGAACACCAAGATTGGCAAATTTGCCACTGGCGCCCTGTGCTCTTCACAGATGAAAGCAGGTTCACACTGAGCACATGTGACAGACGTGACAGAGTCTGGAGACGCCGTGGAGAACATTCTGCTGCCTGCAACATCCTCCAGCATGACCGGTTTGGCGGTGGGTCAGTCATGGTGTGGGGTGGCATTTCTTTGGGGGGCCGCACAGCCCTCCATGTGCTCGCCAGAGGTAGCCTGACTGCCATTAGGTACCGAGATGAGATCCTCAGACCCCTTGTGAGACCATATGCTGGTGCGGTTGGCCCTGGGTTCCTCCTAATGCAAGACAATGCTAGACCTCATGTGGCTGGAGTGTGTCAGCAGTTCCTGCAAGAGGAAGGCATTGATGCTATGGACTGGCCCGCCCGTTCCCCAGACCTGAATCCAATTGAGCACATCTGGGACATCATGTCTCGCTCCATCCACCAACGCCACGTTGCACCACAGACTGTCCAGGAGTTGGCGGATGCTTTAGTCCAGGACTGGGAGGAGATCCCTCAGGAGACCATCCGCCACCTCATCAGGAGCATGCCCAGGCGTTGTAGGGAGGTCATACAGGCACGTGGAGGCCACACACACTACTGAGCCTCATTTTGACTTGTTTTAAGGACATTACATCAAAGTTGGATCAGCCTGTAGTGTGGTTTTCCACTTTAATTTTGAGGGTGACTCAAAATGTGTTAATCCAGACCTCCATGGGTTGATACATTTGATTTCCATTGATAATTTTTGTGTGATTTTGTTGTCAGCACATTCAACTATGTAAAGAAAAAAGTATTTAATAAGATTATTTCATTCATTCAGATCTAGGATATGTTATTTTAGTGTTCCCTTTATTTTTTTGAGCAGTGTATTAGAGAGCTAGTTACACATACAGGTAACTGCCAAAATAAAGGAAACACCAACATGAAGTGTCTTAATAGGGCGTTGGGCCACCACGCAGCTTCAATGCACCTTGGCATGGATTCTACAAGTGTCTGGAACTCTATCGGAGAGATGCAACAAATTCCATCCTTTGGTGTTTTGTTGACGGTGGTGGTTCTCAGGCGCCGCTCCAAACTCTCCCATAAGTGTTCAATTGGGTTGAGATCTGTTGACTGAGACGGCCATGGCGTATGATTTACATCGTTTTCATGCTCATCAAACCATTCAGTGACCACTCGTGCCCTGTGGATGGCGGTATTGTCATCCTATGGGGGTATAGCCATGGTAGCCAAAATAATACTTTAGGTAGTTATCTGTATTTAGTATAAGGTACTGTATATTAATAATATTATATCAAGCCGTATTGAGCCCAGTACTACAAGCCCAGCTCGGTGTGGCTAGCGTCATCCCCAGTTAGTGTTGAGAGCGATGACATGTACTTCCTGTTTCCTGTGGCTTGGCTCCACCCCCTGTGGTGTGGCCACGCCCCTCTGATGACACGTACGTCCGTGACCAGGTCCCTCAGGACAGAGTTCCAGTACCCAGGCATGTTCTCCTGATCTAGAACACAATCTAGAACTCTTTAATCTCACTGTGACCCTGTTCTGGAAAACAAATCTAGAACCTTTGACTGCACCGTGTGTTCTAAGTGTTGCCAAATGATCTTGATTTTGATTTGATCAATCACTTTCTTCCTATAATTTCTGATCATGCCTTTTTTACTCCTGCTACTAATCTCAATTTTCCTCTGATTGAGAACTCACACTGGTCAAAGAACCTTAACTAAAAGGACGTAACTTTTGCTAGAATGCTTTTATATTTTTTGTCTTTAAATGTGGTAACACACTAACATTTTCTAAAACAAACCATGTTTAGAAATAATCTAAATATTTTTTAACAACCACTATTTCTGATGATAATTTCAATTAATAATTAGTTAGTTAACACACAAACTTCCAACACTAAATACAGTAATTGTGTTAAACTTGGAATTGACACATTTGTTGATTAAGTAGTTGATCAACATGAATTTAGCATTATGTAGTGTAAGATAATATAGAGTTGTTAGCATTTTCTCCATTAACATTAAATACTTTAAGAACTGGCACTATTTACAGTGAGGGAAAAAAGTATTTGATCCCCTGCTGATTTTGTACGTTTGCCCACTGACAAAGACATGATCAGTCTATAATTTTAAAGGTAGGTTTATTTGAACAGTGAGAGACAGAATAACAACAACAAAATCCAGAAAAACGCATGTCAAAAATGTTATAAATTGATTTGCATTTTAATGAGGGAAATAAGAATTTGACACCCTCTCAATCAGAAAGATTTCTGGCTCCCCGGTGTCTTTTATACAGGTAACGAGCTGAGATTAGGAGCACACTCTTAAAGGGAGTGCTCCTAATGTGTTGTATAAAAGACACCTGTCCACAGAAGCAATCAATCAATCAGATTCCAAACTCTCCACCATGGCCAAGACCAAAGAGCTCTCCAAAGATGTCAGGGACAAGATTGTAGACCTACACAAGGCTGGAATGGGCTACAAGACCATCGCCAAGCAGCTTGGTGAGAAGGTGACAACAGTTGGTGCCATTATTCGCAAATGGAAGAAACACAAAATAACTGTCAATCTCCCTTGGCCTGGGGCTCCATGCAATATCTCACCTCGTGGAGTTGCAATGATCATGAGAACGGTGAGGAATCAGCCCAGAACTACACAGGAGGATCTTGTCAATGATCTTAAAGCAGCTGGGACCATAGTCACCAAGAAAACAATTGGTAACACACTACGCCGTGAAGGACTGAAATCCTGCAGCGCCCGCAAAGTCCCCCTGCTCAAGAAAGCACATATAAAGGCCCGTCTGAAGTTTGCCAATGAACATCTGAATGATTCAGAGGAGAACTGGGTGAAAGTGTTGTGGTCAGATGAGACCAAAATCGAGCTCTTTGGCATCAACTCAACTCGCCGTATTTGGAGGAGGAGGAATGCTGCCTATGAGGGAAATAAGTATTTGACCCCCTCTCAATCAGAAAGATTTCTGGCTCCCAGGTGTCTTTTATACAGGTAACGAGCTGAGATTAGGAGCACACTCTTAAAGGGAGTGCTCCTAATCTCAGCTTGTTACCTGTATAAAAGACACCTGTCCACAGAAGCAATCAATCAATCAGATTCCAAACTCTCCACCATGGCCAAGACCAAAGAGCTATCCGAGGATGTCAGGGACAAGATTGTAGACCTACACAAGGCTGGAATGGGCTACAAGACCATCGCCAAGCAGCTTGGTGAGAAGGTGACAACAGTTGGTGCGATTATTCGCAAATGGAAGAAACACAAAAGACCTGTCAATCTCCCTCGGCCTGGGGCTCCATGCAAGATCTCACCTCGTGGAGTTGCAATGATCATGAGAACGGTGAGGAATCAGCCCAGAACCTCACGGGAGGATCATGTCAATGATCTCAAGGCAGCTGGGACCATAGTCACCAAGAAAACAATTGGTAACACACTACGCCGTGAAGGACTGAAATCCTGCAGCGCCTGCAAGGTCCCCTTCCTCAAGAAAGCACATATACATGCCCGTCTGAAGTTTGCCAATGAACATCTGAATGATTCAGAGGAGAACTGGGTGAAAGTGTTGTGGTCAGATGAGACCAAAATCGAGCTCTTTGGCATCAACTCAACTCGCCGTGTTTGGAGGAGGAGGAATGCTGCCTATGACCCCAAGAACACCACCCCCACCGTCAAACATGGAGGTGGAAACATTATGCTTTAGGGGTGTTTTTCTGCTAAGGGGACATGACAACTTCACTGCATCAAAGGGACGATGGACGGGGCCATGTACCGTCAAATCTTGGGTGAGAATCTCCTTCCCTCAGCCAGGGCATTGAAAATGGGTCATGGATGGGTATTCCAGCATGACAATGACCCAAAACACACGGCCAAGGCAACAAAGGAGTGGCTCAAGAAGAAGCACATTAAGGTCCTGGAGTGGCCTAGCCAGTCTCCAGACCTTAATCCCATAGAAAATCTGTGGAGGGAGCTGAAGGTTTGAGTTGCCAAACGTCAGCCTCGAAACCTTAATGACTTGGAGAAGATCTGCAAAGAGGAGAGGGACAAAATCCTTCCTGAGATGTGTGCAAACCTGGTGGCCAACTACAAGAAACGTCTGACCTCTGTTTATTGCCAACAAGGATTTTGCCACCAAGTACTAAGTCATATTTTGCAGAGGGGTCAAATACTTATTTCCCTCATTAAAATGCAAATCAATTTATAACATTTTTGACATGCATCTTTCTGGATTTTTTTGTTGTTATTCTGTCTCTCACTGTTCAAATAAATCTACCATTAAAATTATAGACTGATCATGTCTTTGTCAGTGGGCAAACGTACAAAATCAGCAGGGGATCAAATACTTTTTTCCCCTCACTGTAGCTTTCCCTTTCAAACTATTAAAAAATACTTATGGTTCATCATATACACTACCAGTTTGGACACACCTACTCATTCAAGGGTTTTCTTTATTTTTACAATTTTTTACATTGTAGAATAATAGTGAAGACATCAAAACTATGAAATAACACATATGGAATCATGTAGTAACCAAAAAAGTGTTAAACAAATCAAAATATATTTTATATTTGAGATTCTTCAAATAGCCACCCTTTGCCTTGATGACAGCATTGCACACTCTTGGCATTCTCTCAACCAGCTTCATGAGGTAGTCACCTGGAATGCATTTCAATTAACAGTTGTGCCTTCTTAAAAGTTAATTTGCGGAATGTCTTTCCTCCTTAATGTGTTTGAGCCAATAAGTTGTGTTATGACAAGGTAGGGGGGGTGTACAGAAGATAGCCCTAATTGGTAAAAGACCAAGTCCATATTATTGCAAGAACAGCTCAAATAAGCAAAGAGAAACAATTGTCTCTTCAAGTGCAGTCGCAAAAACCATCAAGCGCTATGATGAAACTGGCTCTCATGAGGCCCGCCACAGGAATGGAAGACCCAGAGTTACCTCTGCTGCAGAGGATAAGTTCATTAGAGTTACCAGCCTCAAAAATTGCAGCCCAAATAAATACTTCACAGAGTTCAAGTAACAGACACATTTCAACATCAATTGTTCAGAGGGGACTGTGTGAATCAGGCCTTCATGACCGAATTGCTGCAAATAAACCACTATTAAAGGACACCAATAAGAGGAAGAGACCTGCTTGGTCCAAGAAACACGAGCAATGGACATTAGACCGGTGGAAATTTGTCCTTTGGTCTGGAGTCCAAATTTGAGATTTTTGGTTCAAACCGCCATGTATTTGTGAGACGTGGTGTGGGTGAACAGATGATCTCCGCATGTGTAGTTCCCACTGTGAAGCATGGAGGAGGAGGTGTTATGGTGTAGGGGTGCTTTGCTGGTGACACTGTCTGTGATCTATTTAGAATTCAAGGCACACTTAACCAGCATGTCTACCACAGCATTCTGCAGCGATACGCCATCCTATCTGGCTTGGGCTTAGTGGGACTATCATTTGTTTTTCAACAGGACAATGACCCAACACACCTCCAGGCTGTGTAAGGGCTATTTTACCAAGAAGGAGAGTGATGGAGTGCTGCATCAGATGACCTGGTCTCCACAATGCCCCGACCTCAACCCAATTGAGATGGTTTGGGATGAGTCGGACGGCAGAGTGAAGGAAAAGCAGCCAACAAGTGCTCAGCATATGTGGGAACTCCTTCAAGACTGTTGGAAAAGCATTCCAGGTGAAGCTGGTTGAGAGAATGCCAAGAGTGTGCAAAGCTATTGTCAAGGCAAATGGTGGTTATTTGAAGAATCTCAAATATAAAATATATTTTGATTTGTTTAACACTTTTTTGGTTACTACATGATTCCATATGTGTTATTTCATAGTTTTGATGTCTTCACTATTATTCTACAATGTAAAAAACTGTTTAAAAAAAGAAAGAAAAACCCTTGAAAGAGTAGGTGTGTTCAAACTTTTGACTGGTACTGTATATACACAGCCAGACCCCAAGCAGGTATTAATTGAAATGAAATAACGATATTGAAAATAAGCTACATAAGATTTGACTTCTTAAAACAGTTATTTGGTTTGCCTTGAGGTCTGGCTGTGTCAGATGTTAGTTATCCTGATGGTGTCTCTGTCTATGCTAACTCTTGTTTTACCCCTGCACATTCTGCCGCCCAGCTCTGCTATACCGGGATTTCTGGGATACCTAGGTCCTCCAGGTTAGACTCCATGGTGTTTGATGATGATGATGACCACTGTTGTTCTGTTGTGACAATGCTGATCTGTGTTCATATTGAATAGCGGCCATTTTGTTAGCCCTGGTACCTGATCCGTTTGTGCTCTTGCCAACTCCATTGTTGTTGGCATGATAGCACTAACAGACTGGCACTCGCTACCATTTTGTTGGATTGGGTATGACTTTACCACGTGATGATTTGTTAACCACTTTTAACTTTTCAGGATGGGTTGTGTAGCCTAACAAAGGACTGTAGGCTACACAAACTGTACACACACACACACACACAAGAATACACCCCAAAATAAACAAAACACACTTGAACACACACTCGTGTCCCCCCCTTTGTACTGTGTTCATACCAGAGGAGGATGGTGGGAGGAGCTATAAGAGGACGGGCTCATTGTAATGGCTTGAATGGTATAAATGGAACGGTGTCAAACACAACCAACATATGGAAACCACATGTTTGGCTCCGTTCCATTTATACCATTCCAGCCATTACAATGAGCCCGTCCTCCTATAGCTCCTCCCAATAGCCTCCTCTGATCCATACTGTGTTTTCCGTATAGTAGCTAATACATCTACAGTGATATTTGAACGGGTGTGTTTCATAAAACCAACTGTATTACAACAGGTTAGTACAGAAATCATAGAGATGGATCAGATAGTGTTATACAGTAACCATAGAGATGGATCAGATAGATCTAGTTTGAACTGTATGGTTACTATTATTGTTGTTTGTTATAATGTCAGTATGAGTAGTTTGTTATCTCTGACCTCTAATTTCTGACCACTGTGTGTGAAGGTCCTCCTGGCCCAGAGGGTCCCTATGGCCTTAGGGGCAGCGGAGGGACCAAAGGTGAGAAGGGAATCTCTGGATCTTCCGGATCCCCTGGTTTCCCCGGAGCGAAGGGAGAAATGGGATCGGCCGGATGTCCAGTAAGGAACCAAACAACTTAGATCCATAGATTTCCCTTCACCCATTGATAGAAGGATGAATTACATTTCAATCATGGACCTAATTGCTTTCATTGATCCTCTCCTCTCAAATATAGATCCTAACCCAGGGGAAAGGGCTATGGGTTGGTTTGGGATTGTGTGAAGTAAATTTGAATTCCATCTAGGTTGTGATGTCACATGACCCCTGACCTCTCCCCTATCATGTGACCAGGGTATTCCTGGCCCTCCTGGTGCCAGCGGGCTGAAGGGAGACATCGGACTTCCCGGCATTCCCGGATTCCCAGGTAAAAGAGTAACAACATTCTTCCAGACGTTTACATTACAAACAGCATTGACATTGTCAACACTGACATTGACTCTCTCCACTCCCTCTTTCTCCTCCCTCGCTCTCTCTACCTCTCTCTCTCCACTCCAGGACCAAAGGGAGATTCTGGAAACCCTGGATCATCAGGTCTCCCTGGAGATCCTGGAGATCCTGGTCCTGTTGGTGAGTCTAGTGTTGCACCCTAAAGGAGAAACACCAGAAAGATTAATGGCTGAAAGCAGTGAGTGTAGGTTAGCGATCACACACACACACTCTAACCCCTGTCTTTGTTAACTCCAGGAAACCAAGGTGACCCAGGTGTTGCTCCGCCCCCCACCGTGCTGAAGGGAGCCAGTGGCCCCCCCGGCCCTTCAGGTCTGCCAGGCAGCTCTGGCTCCCAAGGACCCCCCGGACTGGAGGGATACTCAGGTCAGTGGACTGTCACACCCAGTGTCTGTTTGACACAGGAGTTAGTTTATAAAGTTACAGTTAGCTTCGTTTAGCCAGAGAAGGCTTAAAGCTGCAGTTAGCTAGTTTTCCTCTCAAATGGAGAGCACTCAATGATGAGTCCTCTGGTCTGTTTCAGGTCAGCCCGGTCAGCCAGGGGACCCCGGTCCTGAAGGACCCCCAGGATTCAGTGGAGCCTTCGGCCGCAAGGGAGACTCTGGACCCACCGGACAGCCAGGTAAGATTGCCATCTAGCTCAGGTCCATACAACACTAATAATGTTTCAAACCTCCTGAACTATATATTCAATGTTACACAGACCTAACCTTCCATCTTTCTCAGGTACTTAGCATTGCTCAAGGGCACAGCTACAGATTTTTCACCTAGTCAACTCGGGGATTCGAACCAGCAACCTTTTAGTTACTGGCCCAATGCTCTTAACCGCTAGGCTACCTGCCGCTCAGACTTAACCTTCCATCTAGCCTACTAATAATGTTTCAAATCTCATGGAGTACATATGTTACACAGACCTAACCTTCCATTGTGTATATCAGTCATGTATCATTGTGTATATCAGTCATGTATCCTTGTGTATATCAGTCATGTGTCTTTGTGTATATCAGTCATCTATCATTGTGTATATCAGTCATCTATCATTGTGTATATCAGTCATCTATCATTGTGTATATCAGTCATGTATCATTGTGTATATCAGTCATGTATCATCGTGTATATCAGTCATGTATCATTGTGTATATCAGTCATGTATCATCGTGTATATCAGTCATGTATCATTGTGTTTATCAGTCATGTATCATCGTGTATATCAGTCATGTATCATTGTGTATATCAGTCATCTATCATTGTGTATATCAGTCATGTATCATTGTGTATATCAGTCATGTATCATTGTGTATATCAGTCATGTATCATCGTGTATATCAGTCATGTATCATTGTGTATATAAATAATGTATATTTTTGTATATCAGTCATGTGTCTTTGTGTATATCAGTCATGTATCATCGTGTATATCAGTCACCTATCATTGTGTATATCAGTCATGTATCATCGTGTATATCAGTCATGTATCATTGTGTTTATCAGTCATGTATCATCGTGTATATCAGTCATGTATCTTTGGTCAATAGTCATTACAATAAATAGCTCTAGAAGTGTAAAATAAATTCCAATCAAGTCAACTTAGTTATAGTAGCCTATTGTTAATTGAGTTCTTAATGTTCCTTGTTCTCTGTGTCAATGACTGGACGGTATTGACAAGATTGAGTCCATTGTACCGACCAAACTAAACCAAGTATTAGATAGTTTTTTTCCAATTTTGACCCAGGTCTGCCAGAAATAGTTTGGCCAAATGATACTCCATGCTGGAACCATTATTAAAATGGATTAATATTAATATCAATCATGTTTCATATTCATGTAATGTTATTATTATTGTCCTATATCTTTCCTAGTCAATAGTCATATCAATATATAGCTCAAGAAGTGTCAAATAAACTGAAATCAAGTCAACTATAGTATTGTTCAGTGAGTGTATTGAGTTATTAATGTCTGTCCCCAGGTCAGCGTGGGTACCCAGGTCCCCCTGGTTCAGACGGTCAGCAGGGCCCCCCAGGTAACCCCGGCTCAGTCTCTGTGACCCACGGCTTCCTGATCACTAGACACAGCCAGGCTGAAGATGTCCCCATCTGCCCCGAAGGGACCAGCCTCATCTACGACGGATTCTCTCTGCTCTACGTACAGGGCAACGAGAGGGCACACGGACAGGACCTGGGTAAGGATGGAGACTGGAGTTACACGATGGCATCCACATACATTAACATAGATGGTTGTTGTTGTGAGAGAAGCACCTCACATTATTAACCTCTTCTCTTCTCTTCTCTTCTCTTCACTTAATTTTTCCTGTTTTCTTCTCTTCTGCTCCCTCCCTCCCTCCCTCCCTCCCTCCCTCCCCCTCCCTCCCTCCCTCCCTCTCCTCCCTCCCTCCCTCCTCTGCTCCCTCCCTCCCTCCCTCTCCTCTCTCTCCTCTGCTCCCTCCCTCTTTCCTTTCCTCTCCCCTCACCTCCCTCCCTCTCTCCTCTCCTTTCTCAGGTACTGCTGGTAGTTGCCTGCGTCAGTTCAGCACCATGCCATTCATGTTTTGTAACATCAACAACATGTGTAACTTTGCCTCCCGTAACGACTACTCCTATTGGCTGTCTACACCCAAGCCTATGACTATGGCCCCCATCACTGGAGAAGGCATCAAACCTTACATCAGCAGGTAAAGAGGGATGGAGGGAGGAGAGAGAGAGAGAGAGAGAGAGAGAGAGAGAGAGAGAGAGAGAGAGAGAGAGAGAGAGGTAGAGAGAGAGAGGTAGAGAGAGAGAGGTAGAGAGAGAGAGGTAGAGAGAGAGAGGTAGAGAGAGAGAGAGAGAGAGAGGGGGAGGTAGAGATTGAGAGGTAGAGAGAGAGAGAGAGAGAGGGGGGGGGGGGGGGACTAAATGACTAAAATGTAAATGCCTGCCAGCTGAGAATCTTTGGCCCTCCCCTCTGAAGTATAGGTTACTGTAGCCTACTGACGACGTTACAAGCGTAATTCAGAAATTAGGGAGAGATGTTTAACTTTTTCAATGCTAGTTAAGGATACTGTGGTTATCACGTTTCACATTGGATTTATTAACTACAAAAAGGTAAGACGTGTTTTTAATTCTAGTGCTGCTTTGCACACACAAGTTTGTTAGCTAGCTAGATAACATTTGCTCTGTGTGATAAGTGTGATGGAAGGAGTCAGGCGCAGGAGGGTATTCACCGAGTACAGAGTTTATTCCTTTGTTGACACACAAATGCGCTCAAATAGCGATCAATGAAACAGGCACAGGGGAAACTCTAATCCCTGGCAAATACACTGTAACGGTAGAATCCAATAATACACAGGCACAGGGGAAAATCTACCCTGGCAACAAAATGTACGAGTAGCTACACTACTCTCACAAATAACAATCACCCACAAGGACAAGGGGGCAGAGGGAACATTTATACACGGACTAATTAGGGGATTAGAACCAGGTGTGTGTGATTGACAAGACAAGACAATTGTGATGATGATTGGGGCGGCAGTGGTTAGTGACGACGAACGCCCGAAGCCTGCCCGAACAAGGAGGGGAGGCAGCCTCGGCCGAAGTCGTGACACTCTGGTCCAAAGTTAATCCAACTCAGAAGTTCAAAGACATTCAAAGTTCCTCCATAGAAGCCACTCCTCCGTATGTATAATTCTGTGGCCCTAATTCAGATAATGCATGTCATAAGAAGATGCCCAGTGCTTCAAGGCAAGCTTCCTTCATCCTCACCCTCAAAATGTCAGTTGCATCTTGTGCCCTGGCAGCACAGTGTGTGTGTTTGTCTTTCATTATAGTGAAACCATGCTGTTACCGCAAAATACAATTTGCTCTTAGCGACTTTTGTCACGAATTCCGCCGAGACTGCTCCTCCTCCTTGTTCGGGGCAGGCTTCGGCGTTCGTCGTCCCCGGAGTACTAGCTGCTACCGCTTGATGTTCTCTATGTTTGTTTGGTTTTGTCTTGTTGGTGCACCTGTTTCGTCTTATGTATTTATTATGTCACCTATACGTTTCCTTTGGTTTTGTTTGTAGTTGTGTGTTGTTGTCCGTCTGTCCGTTGGTGATGTGTATTTGCTCTCATGTATTTAGTGTATTGACGCACTGTATGCGTAATCTCTTGTATTTAGTGTATTGACGCACTGTTTGCGTAATCGCTTGTATTTAGTGTATTGACGCACTGTATGCGTAATCTCTTGTATTTAGTGTATTGACGCACTGTTTGCGTAATCGCTTGTATTTAGTGTATTGACGCACTGTTTGCGTAATCGCTTGTATTTAGTGTATTGACGCACTGTATGCGTAATCTCTTGTATTTAGTGTATTGACGCACTGTTTGCGTAATCGCTTGTATTTAGTGTATTGACGCACTGTATGCGTAATCGCTTGTATTTAGTGTATTGACGCACTGTTTGCGTAATCGCTTGTATTTAGTGTATTGACGCACTGTATGCGTAATCGCTTGTATTTAGTGTATTGACGCACTGTATGCGTAATCGCTTGTATTTAGTGTATTGACGCACTGTTTTGCGTAATCGCTTGTATTTAGTGTATTGACGCACTGTATGCGTAATCGCTTGTATTTAGTGTATTGACGCACTGTTTGCGTAATCGCTTGTATTTAGTGTATTGACGCACTGTTTGCGTAATCGCTTGTATTTAGTGTATTGACGCACTGTATGCGTAATCGCTTGTATTTAGTGTATTGACGCACTGTTTGCGTAATCGCTTGTATTTAGTGTATTGACACACTGTATGCGTAATCGCTTGTATTTAGTGTATTGACGCACTGTTTGCGTAATCGCTTGTATTTAGTGTATTGACGCACAGTATGCGTAATCGCTCGCCTCCGTTGTTTTGAGGCCCGTTATTTTGTATTGTCGTGTTTTGACAAGTAAAGTCGGTTTGACTAAGCTTCTGTGTCCTGCGCCTGACTCCAACACCACATCCACATCAGCTCGTGACAACTTTCCTATACAGATTAAATGGCTTACCTGCTCCACAGCAAGCTGCTCTATCCACACTGATTGGTGAAGTCATTTAATATCAAGCTAAATGTAAAATATATGTATATATTTCAGAGGTTTAAAAAATAACCGAAATGACTTTTTGGGGGTTTGAATTGGTTCAGAACTTTATTTTGCTGGTCGGAACAGTGGAACGGAACAGAAAAAATAATGGTTCTGTTCAGAACAAAATGATTGGAAAATAATTTTGGTTCCAACCCCTAAATATATTAGTTTACAAAATGTCAGTGGAGGCTGCTGAGGTGAGGACGGCTCATAATAATGGCTGGAACGGAGTGAATGGAATGGCATCAAACACATGGAAACGATCCCACCTATTCCGCTCCAGCCATTACCACGAGCCCGTCCTCCCCAATTACGGTCCCACAAAACTCCTGTGAAGTAGGTATATCTAGCTGTCCGATAACACGTTCTGATGGAATGGCTTGTCCTGTACTTTTACCTAGAGTGCATTGAGTGAATGTTGGAAAAATATCTTGGTTCCTTTCTAAACATAACAATGTGAATGCAAAAGAGGACTCGGACCACAAAATAGGTGAAGTGAACTGGCAAAAGAGTCCTCATTCAAAAGTAAAGGCAGTGTGAGAGTTCTAAGACGTATTCTTTAAAGTGAGTGTATTTAACTCCTCACTGTGTGCTTTAGGTGTGCGGTGTGTGAGGCCCCTGCCATGGTGATCGCTGTACACAGTCAGACCATTCAGATCCCCACCTGCCCCAACTACTGGGAACCACTGTGGATCGGATACTCCTTCATGATGGTGCACACATACACATACACACACATGCACACGCACACAAACACACACACATACACACGCACACAGACACACACATACACTCACATACACACACACACTCACAGACACGCCAACAACCCTTGCCAAAGTACACATGAATGAAGTTTGACATTTTAAGTGTGTTAATAATGCATATTCAAAGCCCACTATATCCACACACAAATTAATCTTTCTTCCACTCTCTCTCTCTCTCTCTCTCTCTCTCTCTCTCCTCCCCCCCCCCCCCCCCCCCCCCCCTTCCTCCACCTCCCTATCTAACAGCACACCAGTGCAGGTGCTGAGGGCTCTGGTCAGGCTCTGGCCTCCCCTGGCTCCTGTCTAGAGGAGTTCCGGAGCTCTACCTTCATCGAGTGTCACGGCCGAGGGACCTGCAACTATTATGGCAACACATACAGCTTCTGGCTGGCCACTGTCGACCAATCAGAAATGTTCAGGTACCATCAATCAATCAACAAATGATTTTCCAAACAGAAATGTTTAGGTACAAGACACTGAGGTTGCTACTGAAATAGCGACCTATTTCCTATATAAGTGCACTCTAACTCTAACTGGAAGTGCTAGCTAAACAGATTGGTTATTTTCATATACGATGTAAAGATCCCAGTGCACATACAGTGATGCCAACCCCTGACCTCTGACCCCTAACCCCTGACCCATAACAGGACGCCACAGTCAGAGATGCTGAAGGCAGGTAACTTACGGACGCGCATCAGCCGCTGTGTGGTCTGTATGAAGAGGACGTAACAGCGCGGTGGCAACCGTTTCCGGGGACGACCGACAACAACCATGACAATGGCGGCGGCGGGCAGAGTGGGGATGATGTTGACGTCTCCATGAACAACAAGGTGGAATTCCAATGGTGCATTGTCTTCCGGAAACAACTATTTAAATGGTGCTACTGTGCAACACAGCAACAAAAGAAAAAACTTTGATCAAATGAATCAATTTAATCTTTTATTATTTTTACTTACCTCAAGTACGGCAAAAAGAAACAAAAATGGTGAATGTGTGACAAAAGTTCATTTTGTTTTAATTTTTTCTCTATTTCGCAGAGAATAGATTTTAAAAAATGGTTTTATTATAAATAATGGTAACACTTCATTTTAAGGGGTCCTTATTACAGGGTAATTAGATGTGTAATTACACTGTAACAAATATTGTAGGTAATTGTAATAACTCATAGTTACACTGTCATAACAACATGTAATTGGTGGTCATTGCAGTCTAATTACAGAGGTGTAACAACAAATGCTTGTTACCGTGCTTGTTACAAATGGGACAGTTTCCACAAAATTCACCAGTAAGTAATAACTGTCACAAGGTTGTAATATCTTGTGGACAGATGCGCTGGGTGTCCAAGATTAACAAAGGTTGGAGGCTCAATAGGCTCTAATTAACTACCCGTGAAGGTGCACGCTTCAAAAAATCTCCACTCATTGTTGTTGCTTGCAGTTGCCCCCCAAAAAGTGTATCAACTTGGTTGAGTTTCCAAAAACAGATCAGATATAGGACAACCTCACTGACTGGGGTCTACCATGAAGTACTTATAATGAATGTGTATGTTGCCCATTATGACAACCTGAACCTCCTTGCCATCAAAGTGGGAGGATAAACCCACTAGTACACCACAGAGTACATATAATATCTTCACAAGTACAATGTAATTACTACATGTTACACAGGAGTTATCTAGTTAAAATGAAGTGTATCTTGAGGGGTACTTACTTGTTATTAATAAGTACTTATACAGTTCATTACCCATCCTGACAACCTGGCCCTCATTGTAAAGCTTCTGGAAGCACCATCCAAGTGAGAAAATAAACACACTAGTACAATGTATAAGTACAATGTAATTATTTCTGCTAGCTAATCCAAAATAACTCAACATATTGCATAGAAAGTCTATTCTGTAGATCGTAACTAGATAGCTAGCTAGCTAGCCTAGTTGGTAGGCCCAAGAAAAAACGGCAGCTAACTTTTGCTAGCTAGCTAGCCAACACCAGGATAGCTAACTAGCAAAGGCTACCTAACTACCTATGTTAAATCGTCCAGCAGAATTCATGTATCCAAAAAAGCAAAACAAATTGCATGGAAAATGTACTTTCTCTCTCCCGTGTTGACGTTTTTGACCTACAACACTGTCTGTTTTGCGGAAAACGTTAATGTCTGGATTTTGCACACTGACCTTCTCAACCCCCGTTCTTTGCGCACTGTCACATGATGTCAGCGTCAACACATGTGGGCACGTTCGAGGTCACCGTTGTTTTGAGCGTGTTGCGCAGATGGGCAGATCTTGACTTTAATTCCTGCAATAAATAAATAATTGCACCCAATGCATCCCATCCAAAAGTGAGAATTGTCCTCAACAGTAAAACCCTTGCGAAGTTACATGATAGAATAACAGTTTTAAGTGCATTTATAAACCATTATTCAACCATAGGCTTACAATTTGTCAAGCACGAATGACTATCTGACAATTTTAACCATAACTGTTTATTAATATGTCTAAAAATGTTTAATTGATGGTTAAAGTAATTGACCCATTGTCAAATGCACCGTTAAATGATTAAACAATTTAAAGTTTTTTTTTTTATGTGAACCCATTTTTGCCATTGGGCCTGGGTCATCAGACTTTATTGCAGAGTTGTGTCAATGAGGTGGTCGGTTTTCAATTGGCTAACACTTATCACGTGTTTTTTTGCAGCCTGAAATATGGTGCGTTGGGATGCTATCAGAAACATTAACAAGCATGGTAACAAGCATTCGTTGTTACACCCCTGTAATTACAGACTGCAAATACCACCAGTTACATGTTGTTATTACAGTGTAACTATGAGTTATTAGAGTTATTTCAATTAATTACAATACTTGTTACGGTGTAATTACATATGTAATTACGCTGTTTATAAGGACCCATTAAAATGAAGCGTTACCAAAATAATAAATGTGGGTTTTTGGTTATTGGCACAGATGTGGTACATCATTTTGTTTTTAGACAGATGTGCTATTTTTCTTTGTTTTTAGTATATATTTTTGTTGTTGTTACCAAATCGGCACTTTGACTTCGGAATATCAAAGATAACAGATGCACTGATGAGCTTTCTTAGCTTTTTATTTATTTCGTTTTTTTCTCCTTTGTGCTACTAACGAACACTGCTGTGTCTCTCCCAGCCCGTTAACAACTGGCCTTTTTTCTCTTCATGTAAGTAATTCAATGTGTATATTATGACATAAAATAGGTATTTAGCTATATTATGAATTTCTGGGTTATTTTTGTTTGTTCACTCTGCTTCACTCATTGCGTTGATTCATGCATTCATTAATTCACTCACTCACGGATATTGTACAAAGTATGGCATCTATAAATGAAACAGTATTAGTGGTTGAGAGCGTTGTGCCAGTAACCGAAAGGTCGCTGGTTCTAATCCCCGAGCCGACTAGGTGAAAAATCTGTCGATGTGCCCTTGAGCAAGGCACTTAACCCTAATTGCTCCTGTAAGTCGCTCTGGATAAGAGCGTCTGCTAAATGACATAAAAAAATAAAATAAAAAAAATATATAAATATAAATATATATATATATATATAGAGAGAGAGAGAGAGAGAGAAAAAAAAGTATAATTATATCAACTTTATTATTTTTATTTGGCTACGGGTGGGATGTTTCTTCATGATTCATTTTTTTTTTATCTCCAAAAGGTCGTCATTCTTTTCACATTTCACAAAACTATTGACTGTTGTCCTGACTCCTGACAACAAAACAGTGTTTCCCGGTCAACCAATCAAAGGCCCTATCCTATGATGATGTACTGTGTATGATAATGCCAATCACTCAAGCTTTTGTATTAGATTTTTACTAGTAATCTATCGTTGAATGTGTTAATAAGTTGATAATGAAATCCACTCCTGAAAATGTATATTATTGATATGAATTCCAGTGGTGAAAAAAGTACCCAATTGTCATACTTGAGTAAAGGTAAAGACACCTTAATAGAAAATGACTAAAGTAAAAGTGAAAGTCCCCCAATAAAATACTACTTGAGTAAAAGTCTAAAAGTATTTGGTTTTAAATATACTGAAGTATCAAAAGTAAATGTAATTGCTAAAATATACTTAAGTGTCAAAAGTAAAAGTAAAAGTATAAATCATTTCAAATTCCTTATATTAAACAAACCAGATGGCACCATTATCTAGTTTTTATTTATTTACGGATAGCCAGGGGCACACTCTAACACTCAGACATCATTTACAAACGAAGCATGTGTGTTTAGTGAGTCCACCAGATCAGAGGCAGTAGGGATGACCAGGGACGTTCTCTTGCGAAGTGCGTGAATTTGATTTCAGTTTTCCTGTCCTACTAAGCATTTGAAATGTAATGAGTACTTTTGGGTGTCAAGGAAAATGTATGGAGTAAAAAGTACATTATTTTCTTTAGGAATGTAGTGAAGTAAAAGTAGTCAAAAATATAAATAGTAAAGTAAAGTACAGATACTCCAAAAAACTACACAAGAAGTACTTTCAAGTATTTTTAATTAAGTATTTTACACCACTGATTAATTCACATCTTTACACTGGTCTACATTGTCCCACTATGAACTGGTGGTAGGTACATCACGTATTGTTACAAGAATAGAATTGAATAGAATGTAGTCTATTCTTTCTTTTTCTATTCTATTCTACGGCCAATGAGGAGAGCTGTGGGGGGGATGATTCTTCCTGTGATGTTTTTTCCAAGCTACTTTTGTATTATTATTGTCGTAATGTACTTCTGGGGTGCACATTTTTTTTTCTATTAATTTCAGAAAATCTATTGTTGTTGTTTTTTTCATGTTATGTTATCCAGAAGTTGTTATAAACTTTTAAGACTGAAAAATAAACCCAATGTCCATCGTTTTGTGTGCAAATGTTTCCCCCCTATCTTGGAAGTGCACACTATCTTGAAAGTGCACACTATTTTGAAAGTGCACACTATCTTGAAAGTGCACACTATCTTGGAAGTGCACACGCCAATCCACGATAGCACAGTGGTGGTCGATGTCTTTTATGATTAGGGAGGACGATTTTTGTTTTTTATGAGCATGGCCTTATTTCTATTACAGCATATTGGATGACTGTCATTCATATTCCATTCACCCAGATCAATGGAACATCGATAGGTTTAGGCTACTACATGATACTCTAATTTTCCCTATACCCGTCATGAGGTTGCTTCAACCTATGAATGAAAGTTTACAACGTAGGTGCACAGGTCGAGAGAATTTTGAGTAACCAAGGTGACAGACAGTGACACATTCAATATCGCCATGGACAATCTTGCCTGCATCTAGCTGATCTAGGGTGTAATCATTAGTCCAAACAGTTGCAAACAAGAGTTTCTATTGGACAAATTCAGGTATGTTTATCCCGGTTTCGTTACGTTTTAACAGAATCGGCGGATTGAATACACCCCTGATCACCCCCAAACACAGTTCACTTTCATAGCAGCCACACAAACAGCATGACCTCTTTGCTCATTGTATAATTCCTTATCGCATCGACGCGCTATTCTGTGACCAGGCGAAAAAAACTTTCCATAACTGTTAACCACTACACACAGCCTACATCATTGTCACCATATTAGCTAACGTCATAGTCAACTGGAACTAATGTGTTAGTAAACCCGCTACAATCTTTCAGTACAGTTTACAGTCAGCAGCAAGCAGTTTAGCAGTTACACCAGCGGGCCCCGGTGGCAATAAATTAATAA